TTTCTGAGCGCCTGATGTCCTCTGCTAGCGATCAGAAGTTGTTTTGTAAAATTTGCTCAGCGTTCAAATGTTCTTTCGATGAATTTGTAGGGGAGAAGGTGGTCTCCCCGTCCTATTCCTCCGCCATCTTGGCTCCTCCCCCTGACTGACTTTCAAATATTGAACCGACCTACGTAGATGGGGCAAGTCACACTTGGTTATGGTGTGTAATTCTTTTTCTTTATTATTGGATTCAGTTTGATAATATTTGATATTGTTTAATGAGGATTTTTGCATTCATGTTCATGAGAGATATTGGTGTGTAGCTTTCTTTTAATGTCTTTGCCTGACTTTGGTATTTGGGCAAATATTGGCCAAATAGAATGAGCTGGCAGCATTCCTTCTGCATCTATACTCTGAAAGAGATTGTAGAGAATTGGTTGAATTTCTTCCTTAAATATTTGGTAGAATTCACAAGTGAATCTGTCTAGGTCTGGTGCTTTCTTTTTGGAAGATTACAAATTATTGATTTAATTCTTTACTATATCTAGGCCTATTCATATTGTTCATTTCTTGTGTCAGATTTGGCAAATTGTGTTTTTCAAGAGATTGATCTATTTCATTAGGTTATCAAGTTTGTGCACATAAAGCTCTTCATTGTAGTTTTTTATTATCCTTAGTGTCCGTGGGCTCTGTAGTGATGTCCCACCTTCATTTCTGGTAGTAATAGTTTTTAAAAATACTTATTTGGTCATGCCAGGTCTTAGTTGTGGCGTGTAGGATCTTCAGTCTTCTTTGCAGCCTGTGAGTGCTTTAGTTGTGGCTTGAGGGCTGTTAGTTGCAGCATGCAATTCTTAGTTGTGACATGTGGGATCTAGCCCTGACCAAGGATCAAACCCAGGACTCCTGCAATGGGAGCTTGGAGTCTTAGCCAGTGGACCACCAGGGAAGTCCTAATATTAGTAATTTTTGTCTTTTCTCTTTTTTTCCTTAGTAGTCTGGCTAGAGACTTATTGATTTCATTGATTCCCCCCCCCCCCCCCCCCCCAGAGAGGCAGGTTTTGGTTTCAGTGATTTTTCTCCATTGGTTTTCTTGTTTCAGTTATATTGATTTCTGCTCTATTATTCTTTTCTTCTGCTTAATTCAGATTTAGTTTGTTCTTCTTTTTCTAGTTTCCTAAGGTAGAAACTTAGGTTACTGACTTTAGATCTTTCTCCTTTTCTAGTATATGCTTTCAATTTCCTGCACAGCACTTCTTTGACTGCCTACCATGTATTTTCATTGGGTATGTTTTTATTTTCATTTAACTGAAACTATATTTAAAACTTCTCTTGACTTTTTTCTTTGATCCATGTGTTATACAGTTGTATGCTGTTTGATCCTCACTTATTTTGGGGTGTTCTAGTTTGTTTTATCAATTCTAGTTTAATTCATTGTGGGAGCAGACATTGTATTTCTATTTTTTTAAACTTTTCAAAGTACATTTTGTCCCTAGAATGTGGTCTTCTTGGTTAATGTTCCATGTGAAGTTGGTAAAAATGTGTATTCTTCCACTGTTGAATGAAAGTCTGTAGATGTCAGTTCTATCCAGTTGACTGGTGTTTTTGTTGGGTTCAACTATGTCCTTATTGATTGTCTGCTTGGTTTTTTAAAGTCACTTAGTCGTGTCCAACTCTTTGTGACCCCATGGACTATATAGTCCATGGAATTCTCCAGGTCAGAATACTGGACTGGGTACCCTTTCCCTTCTCCAGGGGATCTTCCCAACCCAGGGATTGAACCCAGGTCTCCCGCATTGCAAGCGGATTCTTTACCAGCTGGAAGCCCAAAATACTGGAGTGGTAGGCTATCCCTTCTCCAGTGGATCTTCCTGAACCAGGAATCGAACTGGGGTCTCCTGCTTTGCAGGCAGATTCTTTACCAACTGAACTATCAGCTGCTGCTGCTAAGTTGCTTCAGTTGTGTCCGACTCTGTGCGACCCCATAGACAGCAGCCCACCAGGCTCCACCGTCCCTGGGATTCTTCAGAGAAGAACACTGGAGTGGGTTGCCATTTCCTTCTCCAGTGCATGAAAGTGAAAAGGGAAAGTGAAGTTGCTCAGTCGTGTCCGACTCTTCGTGACCCCATGGATTGCAGCCTACCAGACTCCTCCGTCCATGGGATTTTCCTGGCAAGAGTACTGGAGTGGGGTGCCATTGCCTTTTCCGGAACTGTCAGCTAGGTCTCTCCATTTCTGATAGTGACTTCAAATATTATAGTGGATTTAGCTATTTCTTTTGCATTCCTATTAGTTTTTGTCCCATATAGTTGGACACACTGATGGTAGGCACATACATGTTGAGGACTGTTTTGTTTTTTTTCCCTTGGAGAACTGGTTCCTTTATCATTATGTTAATGACCTTTAAGAAATCTCTGATAATTTTCCTTTCTTTGAGGTCTTCTGTATCTGAAATTAATATAGCTACTCTGCTTCTTTTTGATTAGTTGTAGCATGGTATATTTTTCTCCATCCATTTACTTTTAATCTAGAAGTGTCTTTATGTCTAAAATAGATTTTTTTATAGACATCAAATATTTGGGTCTTGTTTTATGATCCTCTGACAATTTCTGTCTTTTAACTGGTGTACTTAGACCATTGATGTTCAAAGTATTATTGACAAGGTTGGATTATTATTTACCATATATATTACCATTTCCTATTTGTTGCTCTTGTTCTATGTTTTTTTTGTTTCCCACTCTTTATGCCTTTTGTGGTTTTAAATAAACATTTTATTTATTTATTTTTGTTTTATTTATTTATTTTAGAAGGATTAGGGAGAGAATTCTGTTTATTATCGAAGATCAGGAAACAAAATCTGGAAATGCTCTATTATAAGGCTGAGGAGCTACAAAGGAGGGGTAGGGTGAAGGAGACACAGTAATACACAGCATTCTTTTGAGGAGCCCCAACTTTTCATTCTTCTTTTTTTTTTTTCCCAACTGTTCATTCTAATGCTTGAATCAAAGAGAGACAGCCATCCTTTGTCACTGAGACTGCAGAAGAATGGAAACCTCACTCAGTCACCAGTTCCTATAGGGCAAACAGAGCAAGAACCTATTTAAAGCTGATGCAGAGGCTGCTCATGGTCTGCTGGGAGCCCCCTTGCCAAGCAGACTGGATGCTGAAGGTGGTCCTTGGCTGCCAGTGCTGGCTGGTCCTGGCTTCCTAGAGCCTGGACTTCTCTTGATTCTCAGTGACAAGATTGTCAGTTGAATACAGTTGGCCAGTATGACCTGTTGGCAGACTTATTCTAATGTCTCTTTTGGCTTTGTTCATTAGGGCTTGAATTTTTATAGGATCCTCTACATTCTTGTTTTCTCTGAAGGCAACTCATATCCTTCTGATGGTGTAAGTTCTGTAGTTGTAGGTGATGAAGTGCTTGCTCTTCTTCAGCATTGCTGGGTACAGATCCAGAACTTGTGTTGGGCTGGAGGCTGCCATCTAGGGACAAAAAAACCCCAGTGGGTCCTCTTTGCGGAGGTCCTGAGTTTAATGTGACCTGCAAAACTTATGTAGCCTTAGGGTGCCTGAGCCAGCCATATGCATAGGCTCTGCTCAGGCAGTGGCCCAGGTGGGCTCAGGCCATAGGCATTGGCCCAAGTCCTAAATAAGTATTTTATTTGATTCCATTTTCTCTCCTTCCTAGCATAGCCATCGTATTCCTTCCTTCCTCTTTCCTTCCCTCCCTCCTGTCCCCTTTTTCACTGGTTGCCCTCGATTTTGCAGTGTGTATTTATGGCAAATCCAAGTGTACTTTCCCATAACACTATACGATTTCATGGGTAGTATGAGTACCTTATATACAGTATAATGCTAATTTTTCAGTCCATCCCTTGTATCACTGCTATCATTTGTTTCATGCCTATATAAGCATATAAATTGACCCTTGAACAATGCAGGAGTTAGGGACAACAACCCCCCCAGCAGTCAAAAATTTGTGTATAATATTTGACTTCCCAAGTGGCTCAGTGGTAAAGAATCCACCTGTAATGCAGGAGACAAGAGTTTGATCCCTGGGTCGGGAAGATCCCTTGGGGCAGGAAATGGCAACCTACTCCAGTATTCTTGCCTGGAAATCCCCATGGACAGAGCAGCCTGGTTCTGGACAGAAGAGCTACAGTCCGTGGGGTCACAAAGAGTCAGACACAACTGAGTAACTAAAGAACAACAACAACAAATTTAACTACCATAGCCTGCTGTTGACCAGAAGCTTTACCAATAGATAACATAAAGTCAGTTAACACATGCTTTGTATGTTATTTGTATACTTAAAGTAAGAGAGTAAAGTAGAGAGGAAAATGTTATGAAGAAAATCATAAAGAGAAAATACATTTATAGTACTGTACCACTACTGTAAGTTTGCATCATCCAAAAGATGAAGCATCAATGTAAGTCATTAACTACAACAATATTGTCTTAGATACAAAACACTGTAGATGTTATCTGTATTTCTAACACTAGATAAAATGAAAAGATAATGTGAAAAAAAGAATTTGTATTAGTTTAGAGGTATTAAAATTTATACATTGATATTAAAAAAGCTTTATGATATTTTTAATGGTAATTTAGTGTAATTGATATAGTTGCTTCACAGTAGCCTGACTTATACACTAATGAATCAATCATCATTCAATTTTAAGGCATAAAGTATTATAGTCATGTTCATAATATGGTATTAGAAAAACATTGTTACTTTCTTTTTTAAAAAGCCACTTACCTGTGATGATATGCTGATGTGCAGTTTCTCCAGTTATGAAACAGAGAGGAATACTATATGGTAATGTAATTCTTTGAAAGTTATAAAATAGAAATCTAACATATTATTAATTTTATGCTAAATGTCTCTCACCTTATACCTATGTAAGGATAGACTAGCATCTACATGTATTGTATGCATTTATGACATGCCATACATTTATTTATTTGTATTTCTAGGCTCTGTGGTTCATCTGAGTTTTTTCAAACTTTTGCAAATCTTAAAATTCCAATATATTTATTGGAACAAATTTGTGTAAGTTGGAACTGTGCAGTTCTAACCTGTGTTAAAGTTAAACTGTTTCTATTATTTATTATTAAAGTAATTATTAAATTAAGTATTATTAGTTTATTCTTATTATCATTATTGACCAAACTATTCTATGTTAGGTCAAATAAGAAAAATGAAAGTTTAAAATTCATATTCACTATTAATTTTTCCAGGGCTCTTGCTTACTTTATGTATATAAAAATTTTTTCTTGTCTCTGAAGAACTTCTTTTAACATTTTTTGAAAGGCAAGTCTACTGGCAATGAATTCCTTCAGTTTTTGTTTGTCTGAGAAGGTCTGTATTTCTTCTTCACTTTTGAGGAATAATTTCTCAGGGTACAGAATTTTAGATTGGTGGTTTTTTCTGTTAACATTTTACATATTTCATTCCACTCTCTTCTTGCTGCATGGCTTCTAAGGAGAAGTTGGATATAATTATTATTATCTTTGTTCCTCTGTTGGTAAGGTGTTTTCCTCTTCTAAATTCTTTCCTTCAGGATTTTTTTTTTAATCTTTGATTTTCTGTGGTTTGAAGGTGATATGCTTATGCGTAGCTTTTTTTTTTTTTACATTTAATCCTGTTTGGTGTTGTCTGAACTTTCTCAACCTGTGATTTTCTTTTGTGTCAGACATCAGGTAGGGGGAAATCTTGGTCATTATTCTATCAAATGTTTCTTCTGTTACTTTTCCTTTCTAGTATTCTCTCTATGCACGTGCTAACCTTCTGTAGTTGTCCCACAGTCCTTGCGTATTCTCTTCTGTTTTTCTGTCTTTGTTATCTTAGATTTGGTTTTCAAACATTCTGGTGATATATCCACTAACTCAGAGTCTTTTGTCAGCCATGTCCAGTCTACTAAAAAGCCCATCAAAGGCTTTTTTGTGTGTCTGCTACAGTGTTTTATTTCTAGCATTAAAAAAGAACTCTTCCTTAGGATTTCCATCTCAGCTTACGTTGTTGTCTGTTCTTAAATGCTATATGCTTAATCCAGTATAGCCTTCAGCATATTAATCATAGGTGTTTTAAATCCCTAATATGATAATTCCAATGTCCCTGATGTGTCTGGCTCTGATGCTTGCTCAGTCTCTTCAGATTGTGTCTTCTGCCTTTTGGTATGCCTTGTAATTTTCTTCCTTGTTAACTAGACATGACATGTTAGCTGGGTAAAAGAAGCTGCTGTAAAGAGATCTTTAGTAACTTGGTGGTGAGGGGTCAGGGGAAGGTAAGTGTTCTATAACCGTGTGATTGGGTCTTAGTCTTTTAGTGACAGTGAGCCTGTGCCTCTGGACTGGGGCAGGATGGCTTGAGTGAATTGGAGTTTTTTCCCTTCTCCCATATGGAATGCTAGAACTGCTAGCATTGGGTAATTCCCTTCCCCCAGGTGGTTTAGGCTCTGATAATACCCCTGGTTAGGCTTTGGTTAACTAGTTTCCTTTTCCCCTGAGGGCAGGGTTTGTTAAGAAAACCAAAGTGCTCTGGTATATTTCAAAATTGTTCCCTTCCCCTCTCCCAGCACAAGAGTGTTTTTCTCCCATGTGATTTTCTCCCCTGATCTGGCTCTTACATAACTGGCTCATAACATAAGAGTTAAGACATAACTCTTACAATATTTGGGAACCCTCCATGACTAAGTACCCCTAAATTTTTAACTAAGAGAGTCATGCATATTGAGCCTGTAGCAGTTCATCATTTACAGTTCAGGCTTTGTTAGCCCAGCACTTGTTCCTGCCCTGGTTTTCACTGGTATTGCTGCTCCAGTAAGCTGTTACTTCCTGTATTCACCTGTCTCCTAATCTTAAAGGCAATGGTTTGTCCTCCCCTCTCTTACTAACCCAGGAAAAGTTATTGATTTTTCCATTTTTTCGCCTTTTTACTTGTCAGAATGCAGTGGTGACTTCCAAGATATTTATATCAAAAATGGAAACCAGAAGTCTACCTCCATTTTTTAAATAAATTTACAAATCAGGAAAATTATTTCTTCCTTCATCCTTTTTCTAGTTCCCTTTATCCCTTCATGTAGGTTCAGGTTTCTATCTTGTATAATTTTTCTTTTGGCTTAAAAAGCTTGGTTTAACATTTGTAGTGCAGCTCTGCTGCTGGTAACAGATTTTTCTGTTCATTTTTTTTAAAAGTGTGATACAGTGTACATAACAAAATTTGCCATTTTAACCATTTTTTGTGTTCAGTTCAGTGGCATTAAGTCTATTCACATTGCTGTGAATCCTCCTATCTTCCCAACTGAAACTCTTGTACTTACTGAACAATAACTCCTGTCCTCCCTTGCCTCAGCCCCTTGATAACTACCATTCTCCTGTCTGTCTGTGAATTTAACTGCTCTGGAAGCTCTTATAAGTGGAATTGTACAATGTGTATCCTTTTGTATCTGAGTTATTTCATGTAGCATAATGTCTTCAGAGTTCGTCCATGTTGTAGCATGTGTCAGACCCTTGTATGATTAATATTCTGGTCAATGCCTGTATACCACGTTTTGTTTATCCATTCATACTTAAGTGGTCATTTGAGTTGTTTTCCTGTTTTGGCTATTGTGAATAATGCTGCTGTATGAATGCTGGTGTACAAATATCTTTGTGTTCATCTCTGCTTTCACTTCTTATGGATATATATCCAGAGGTGGGATTACTGGATCACATGGTAATTCCGTTTAATTTTTTGAGAAATTTCCATCCTATTTTCCACAGTGACTACACTATTTTATATTCCCACTGATGATGTAGGAAGGTTCTGTTTTTTTTTTTTTCTCCTGGCTGTGCCTTGAGGTGTGTGGGATCTTAGATCCCCGGCCAGGGATTGAACCTGTGCTGCCTGCACAGGTTCCCTAACGGAACCCTAACCGTTGGACCACCAGGGAATTCTCAGGGAGGTTCCGGTTTCTTCACATCCTTGCCAAGCACTTGTAATTTTCTGTTCCGTATTCTGTTTTCTTTTTAAATTATAACCATCCTAATGGATGGGAAATGGTATGTCTTTGTGGTTTTGGTTTGCATTTCCTAATGATTAGTGATGTTAAACATCTTTTCATGTGTGTATTGTCCATTTATAAATCTTTTTTCCTTATTAATTAAGTAATTATTTATTTGGTTGCGCTGGGTCTTCCTTGCTGTGAGCAGGCTTTCTCTAGCTGCAGCGAGTGGTGGCTGCTCTCTGATGCAGTACGCTGGCTTCTCCTGTTGCGGAGCACAGGATCTCGGCAGTGTGGGTTTCAGCAGCTGCAGCTCGTGTGCTTGTTGATTGTGGTGCACAGCCTTCGTTGCTCTGTGGCAACTAGTGCTGCTTTAGAGGCTTGAGTACTGATAATTTGTCTACTAATTTTTAATGGTGGTGAAAGAAGCAAAAATCTCTTTTATTTATAGCATTTTGGTCAGTATGTAGATGATGACATCACAGGATGGCTTTGTTT